TATCCACAGTGGAAGTTTCCTTCCTTCCCTTCAGAGAAAGGATGCCTCCTTTCTTTGATGGGCCCGGTCCTTTCTGCTGGGGATCCTTGTTCACCGGAGATCTTTCATTCAGGATGTTTTTACCCACAGTGTCTTGGCTTTCCATGCCTGTGAGACTCTCATGGGCCTTTTAGCCAGATCCGAATGCCCCAAGGGTTGAATCTGAGGCCGGAGTGCTGTTTAGGGCATTTGCTATTCTATGAGTCTGCTGAACACATAAGAATTTAATTTCTTAACCAATATCTCACTTTCCCCTTATAATAACAGAACTCCACTTTTGTTTAGTATAGCAGCATGGCCAGGTTCAGTCAATGAATCACCATTGATTTAGGTCGATCGTGGCAATCCTGTTCTCCAGTCTCCCAGTTTCCTTTGCCAACAGGGCTGACTCTGTGATGCAGTTGCGGCTAATGAGAACAAAACAGAATGCATGTAGGAGGCTTCTGGAAAAGCTTTTACTTTATAGAGACTGGCTCAGCTTGCATGGCTTCCTCCTTCTCGCAGCCTTCATATCTTGAGTACAGACGTGATGTCTAGCGGGGCAGCAATGCAACAGTCATCTTGCAACCAAGAGAACGCTGGTATGAGGACAAAAGCTCATGTGCTAAGGATGGTCTTTTGATGTTCTATGTAATTTTTTTTTTAAAAATCATCTCATATGATTATCAAAATGATATTAATATATTCATTTAAAATGGGACATAGTATGAATAGTAACAATTCAAAGCACGTTTTGGAGGCGTACATGAGAAAATATATGAGAAAATAGTGGAGTGTTAAAAATAAAGTTAAATAGATCTTATTGCAGTGGCCTATTCCCAGATCTCTTCCTGAAAGCAGGACCTGAGGCAGACTTGCATGTATGTGTTAATGTTGGAATGTGAACTTGTGCATGGGGGACTTGGAAGAGTAAAGCAACAAAGGAAGCAAAACCGTTAGAACATGTTTTTCATCTGAGCAACAACTGCGGGTCAATCCCACTGAAGAGCCATGCAGAATGCAATTCACAATTGTTCGCTGGAGGAACAGCAGGGAAGATCACTCCTGGTCAGCTCCTATAGTCCAGTGATCAGGGGTTGCTCCTTGGAGTTTTAACTCTCTTAAACCTCCAGGCTTGTGCACACTGTAGAATGGCAGGACCGGTTCACAGGCAAGAGGAAGCCCTACCACAGAAAGGGAAATACAGCACAGACTAGGCAAGTACTGTCAGGTTCAACCTGCCTAAGCAAAGGTGGGCTGGGAAGGACATGAGGCATGGTGTGAGAGGTGTTTGATGCCTCATCTAAATGCTAGGTGATAGTTATCTGAAACAATAGTCTTGACAGTAGGAGGGTCAAAGAAGTGCTATTGATTTCATTTGTTCATTAATTTTTATATCTGTGTTTACAAGGAGAGAAGCAGTTTAGTGTAGTGAATAAGCACATGAACTCCGGAGTCAGCATGTCTTGGTTGG